TTTTTTTTTAAAGATTTTATTTATTTATTTGACAGAGAGAGACACAGCGAGAGAGGGAACACAAGCAGGGGAAGTGGGAGAGGGAGAAGCAGACTCCCCACTGAGCAGAGAGCCCTATGCGGGGCTCGATCCCAGGACCCTGAGATCATGACCTGAGCCAAAGGCAGACGCTTAACAACTGAGCCACCCAGACACCCCTAAAAATAAAATCTTAAAAAAAAATTAAAACTTCTGCTCACTAAAAGACAGCATCAAGAGAATGAGAAGACAAGCCACAAATTGGGAGAGAATATTTACAAAAGGTATATCTGATAAACGACTGTTATCCAAAATATAAAAATCACTCTTAAAGCTCAAGCAATAAGAAAACAACCTGATTAAAAGGGGTCCAAGACTTTGAACCTGACCAAATAAGATATACAGATGGCAAATAAGCATATGAAAAGATGCTCCACATCATATGACATCAGGGAAATGCGAACTACACCAACACTGAGGTACCTCTTCGTACCTAGTAGAATGACCAAAATCCACAACACTGACAACACCAAATACTGACAAGAACGTGGAGGAACAGGAATTCTCACTCATTGCTGGTGAGAATGCAAAAATGATACAGCCAGTTATCAAGACAGTTTGGTGGTTTCTTAGAAAAGTAAACATACTTTTACCACATGATTCAGCAATCGTGCTTCTTGGTATCTATTAAAGGATTTGAAAACTTATGTCCACACAAAAAACCTGCACCTGGATGTTGATAGCAGCTTTACTCATAATTGCTAAATTTTGAAAGCAACTAAGATGTTCTGAATTCAGTAGGTACATGAAAAACTATGAAATGATATATTGAGCACTGGGTGTTATATGCAACTGATGAATCACTAAATGCTACCTCTGAAACTAATAATATACTATATATTAACTAAATTGAATTTAAATTAAAAAATTTAAAAAATTTTAATTAAAAAACAAGTAATAAAAATTAAATAAAATAAATGAGCTACTATGTCATGAAAAGACATGGAGGGACCTTACTATTAAGTGAAAGAAGCCAATCTGAAAAGTCCATGTACTCTATGATTCTAACTACATGACATTCTGGAAAAGGCAAAACTGTGGAGCCATTAAAATGATCAGTGGTTGTTAGGGGCATGGGGAGGTAGGAATAAATAGAGCAAGGAAGACTTTTATGGTAGTGAAAATATCTTATATGAAACCATAATGATGGATACATTTGTCCAAGCCCTTAGAATACACAATGCCAAGAGTGAACCCTATGTAAACTATGGACTCCAGCTGATTATGATGTGTCAATGTAGGTTTATCAATTATAACGAATATACCTCTGGTGGAGGATATTGACAATGGGGGTGACTATGTATGTGTGGGGGTAGGGGTTTTATGGGAAATCTCTATACCTTTCCTTCAATTTTGCCATGAATCTTAAACTGCTCTAAAAAATTAAAGTCTTAATTTTAAAAAAGGCTTCAGGTCATTGTTCTCTAGTTTCCAACAGAGATGGCTTGTACATATTTAATGAACCAAGCATCAGATTTAACCTCCAAAGGCCAGTCCCAAGCAATGCATATTTGGAAATCCTTAGGTAGAGCTCTTGGCTATATTTCACCTAGTCAGAACGTATATCTGTCCACTGAGGACTACTGTAGCATTCTAGCAGTGGAATACTGTACTTCTTGTCACCTGATTTGGCCTCATTGATTTAATTTCCATTAACTTCTCCCCAATGCTGAAACAATGTCTCTGTACCACAGTGGAAGTCATTATACTTTGTGGTTGCTCTCAGGTATATTAAAATACTGTCAAGATAATGATCTTATTAGGAGACGTGTGGAAGGCTACCTTTTCAGATATCTTACTTTGTAAAGGCTCATCTCCCACACAGTTTGTCCAAAAGGCTGATTACTCAATTCACTGAAGGAAGACACTTGATTTCTTCATTAAATGTACTTTTTGGTGTTGTATAAACATGTAAAATATGTATTAATCACCTAGATTGCTAATTATTATTAAAATGACATTTTCAGCAATAGAAATATAGCTTACTGTGGAACAGTCTATTTTTCTAATTTTATAATAGTTGTATTTCAGAGGAAACCTGTTTTATCGAAATTTGTTTTATAAAAATAATTGTTCAATTGGGAAAAAAAGTTGGAGGGTTAAGTACTCGAGTCCCAGACTCTCAAGTAAGTTATTTTTCCTGCTGGAATGTTTTGTTCTAATAGCAATAATTATACAACTATACAAACTAAATGTACTAGGATAAATCCAGCCATCCAGGTTTTGCCTTATTCTATGCTACCAGAACTATGGTTAGCAGAACAGTTGTTGCATATTCTTATTACTTTATTATCCTGTCACCCATTGTTATGATAAATAAAGTTTACTTAAACATGAAGAAGGCATCTTTGTGGTCTTCCATATGTGTTCTCCCTAAAACCACTTTGCTAATTCCTGATCCCACCATTATTCCATTCAAACCATCAAATATTTATTAAGTACTAACTATTCCCAGACTTTAAATAGACAATGAATTCAATGTTGAACAAGACAACATTACTTCTCCATTAGCTAAATTTTCATTAATGAATATAAACACAATTTTAATTAACTTGTCCTATTAAAAACAATTTAATGATAATTGGAGTTATTACTGAAATACCCATATTAAGATTAGAGAAAAAAGTCTAAAAAAAGAAAAGTCTCTTATAATCTCTTACCCTTGGAGTTAGCCACTATTATAATTTTTGAATATTTGTTTTCAGGCTTTCATCTATGATTTTACAGAGATACAATCTTTTCTTTTTTTTTTAAGATTTATTTGTTTATTTGAGAGAGAGAGAGAGAGCATGTGAGTGAGCACGAGCACGGGGAGGGGCAGAGGAAGAGAATCTTTAAGCCAACTCCCCGCTGAGCGTGGAGCCCCACATGAGGCTGGATCTCATGACCCAGGAGATCATGACCTGAGTCAAAACGAAGAGTTGGACGCTTAAACTAAGCCACCTAGGCGCCCTGAGATATAGTCTTTTCTTTATTTTTTATTTTTTTTAAAGATTTTATTTATTTATTTGACAGAGAGAGAGAGTGAGCACACAAGCAGGGGGATTGGCAGGCAGAGGGAGAGGGAGAAGCAGGCTCCCTGCCAAGCAGGGAAACCAATGTAGGGCTCGATCCCTGGACCCTGGGATCATGACCTGAGCAGGAGGCAGACACCTAACCGACCAAGCCACCCAGGCAAATCTATAACCTTTTCTTTAAACAAAGTGTGACCACATTAAATATATAGTTTATGTATATGTACACTTGTGTTCACTGAATGAGAATATTTTTATGTTATTAAATACTTGTTGAAAACATAATTTTTTATTATTTTTTAAATATCCTAGCTAGTTGCTCCAAATGCTTCCTATTGTAAATAAAGCTGTGGTTTCCATGCACCTTTGACCCTACCACAGAGAAGTTCCTAACTAAAAGAAGCTTTAGAAGTTAAATTCCCAGATCAAAGTGTATGAACAATTTTAAGGCTGTTGATGTGTATTTCCAAATTGGATTTCTTTTTAGAAATGTACCAATTTCTGGGGCGCCTGAGTGGGTCAGTCATTGGGCGTCTGCCTTCGGCTCAGGTCATGATCCCAGGGTCCTGGGATCGAGCCCCGCATCAGGCTCCCTGCTTGGCGGGAAGTCTGCTTCTCCCTCTCCCA